TTTTTTAGGTGTATATACATAATATCAAATCAGGGCGATAAAACTGAGAGGAATTAAGTTTGTCATATCTTCTTGATTCTTCCATTTATTTTGTATCGACTGTAATCGATAAATTGAGTTTGCTTTAAGATTATTTTGAATACCTATTAAACATAGATACTTCAGATTTAGTATGTCTTGTATTGTATTGTATATAAATGTAAATACAGTAATTTATCACTTCTTATTCTGGATATCACGCCGCATTCTCGCCTAATTTGATAAACTACGTCATTACTATATACTATATATGTTATACTAAATACCACATTAAAACGTTATTATCACCTTATGAATGTTTGATGAATATAGTCCCAGTAAAAGATTATTTATTTAACAAGTAAGATTTCATATTATTACCCACACTGCAGTCCAAGCGCAGTCGCTGCTAACTGCGCAGTTAGCAGAGCGATACATGCGAATGTATGTGTGCCTGTCTTTTTGTTTATTGCGAATGAATGTAGAATTCAGAGAATCTCCTAGTCGAGCAGCCTCGACCATAGCTAATTAAATTAATTAATCATTTATTCTAGTTTATTATAATCTGACTAATAATTTAACAAAACTTTGTTGCACAAAAGTTAATAGCAGTATAGTATTAATCTTAAGAAAATACTAACGTTACGTACCATTTTATAGATATTTACATTAGTGATCCACTTTAATAATAATAATCTATGTATGGATATGTACCTCATTGATACACAACATTAGGGCGTGTATGATTTTAATAATGCATTTGTTTATAAAAATATTATTCAGATTCAGTGTTTTATATTATTAATATTGCCTAAGGCTCTCGGATGCTTATGACTTTAGTGACAATACTAGATTATCAAACTTTCAATTTTTTAGTTTCAATACTAATATTTGAAGCTATTACAAAAACATTCTGCAAATCAACGCAGCCCCCGCCCAATTAAATGATGTAAATTAAGTCTCGCTAAAATTACTACATTTATATTTTGTATATGCCATACAATTTAAGCCTTTAACCAAAACTTATTTTTGATGATAATAACCCAGAAATATTCAATTATCGGTCAATTGAATGCATGCAGTTAAACTTTATTAAAAACAAAATTATAATTGGTCAACAAATAACATTGGATTAGAAGAGACATCGTTTGTAGTTCAGATAAGCTTAAAGAAAAGAGACAAAAATATTTAAAGTTGATCTGTAGACATTAATTATTTTGGGATTTCACTTACCTGTTCGGTTTTCAGCTGAGAATTTCTGCAGTTCGCACAAACTGCTGAATTTACGCTGCTTCAACTCGTCGGGCTTGCTCTTGCAGCCGCATTCTGGACGCACAAGTATCGACGCTATCACTGGCTTTCTAAGGAGACAGATCTTGGGAATGAAGTACTTGCAAAGCTCCTCCGATACGGGCACAAGTGCTAGGGGTCCATTTAAGATTCGATTAAATCGGGATGAGTTATGTGATTACAGCGCACTTACGTCTTCTACAAGTCTTGAGTCTAAATTCATTCTCAGCATCCCTCAGGCAAGGATTTTGGATCGGACGACAAACGCATTCGTCGAGCACCCAGCACAAGTTCTTTTGATAGATATTACACCTGCTAGGAGGCACGAAGATGGGAGGAGCCGGCTTGAGTAAGATAGTGCTCTCCACTGCCAAAAATACGGCAGTCAATACGAATAGGACTCGAAGCATTTCGAATTTCTTGTTAACAATAGGCTAGTTAGGACTAATCTGGTTGCTACCTCCGGCGGAAGGCTTTTTATAGCAATTTTTGTTTTAATATATTTATATATATATGAATAATCGTATTTGAGCAGCTGAGCACGCTAAGCAAATAAAGCCCATATTTTATATATTAATAGATTGTCATTTCAGTTTTATACATGACTCATTAATGAGACAGAGCTCTAATATATCATATGTATATAGAAGACTGCGCAGCTGAGATGAGCCTGTCCTAAGCAGCTTCCACTTGGACAATGCGGCTGTAACCGGTTGAGCGAGGTTAGCAACATGAAATATGGGACAAAAATATACAAAAATATATTTAAAATAATAATAATAAAATGTAAGAKACGGCCATAAATAATGATGACACCTTTTCAGCGGTCGGTAATTACACGCAGCAGTCATTAGCTCATTAGCATTAGAAGAGCGGAAAGCGCTGCTCGTTGCGGACTGCAATGGCGCAAAAACAAAAGTCAAACAACGCCATTAACCCTTTGCCGAGGAAGGGGGAGCCATTCCGGCTGCCCCCTCGCCAACGCTTGCTAATGTTGGCTTAGTAAGTAATAATAAAATAATAAGCAAAAAGTGTCATCATTTGAAGGGCGCTGGCGCGGGCAAATCCTGACGGATTTCGTATGTAATTACTTCAATTAAACCATCTGTGACAATTGCCGCAGCCAAACATGAAATTCAACTTTACTTTTAAAATTCCCAATTGAGTTGAGGCGCATTATCCTGGCAAGCAACCCCCAGGAGCCGGTAACTCAACGCGCTTTTTACCTTTACCTTTGCGATGTTGTTGCCTTTTGCCGTTGTCGTTGTCGTTGTTGTTTCAACTCCTCCGGCTTCTGCTGCTGATGATGATGTTGCTGCTGTTGTGGTTGTTGTTGTTGCTGTTGTCTCTTTTAATGGGGTGACATTTATGGCACTTTATCAACTCCAAAGTCAATAATGCCACTCAAGCATCTTACTTAAACGTGGCTTAAAAATATATACATACATACATACGAAAATATGAGGAAGCATAAAAAACTGTAGAGAAAATTGTAATGCGATAAAAATGAAATTTTAAAATTTATGCCGCTTATTGTCGATTCGTGGCGCCCGAAACCCAAGACTTAAGGCAGCTAATGCGCCCCAAGCAGTTGCAGAAGAATAAGAAGGAAAAAACCTGGAGAAATCAAATGCCCCTCTGCTCCCCGAAGTTTTTGTTATGACAACCGAAAGACATTTGAAATGTACTCCAAAGTGTGACAGAGAGCGTGTGGAAGACTGCGAAATTGTGGCAGGGCATTAGGCAAATGGATCCCGCCGGATTAGCAGCCCAAGCGCCCCAGAACCCAAAAGCTTCAAAGACGTGGGCGAAGGCGAGGGCATGGGTGAGGGCAAGGGCGTGGGGTGCAGATTCTCAAGCAACCATTTGTTGACATTTAGGCGCTGGCCTGGGAATATCGCCGGAAACTTTGCGTAATTAGGAGTATCTTTGAGACGACTCACGCCGCTGACAACTTGATTACGTTTCAGCAACATTGTAAAAGTTAATTGCCAACGCTGCCTTAAAGCCTGATGAGCATTTATCACCCTCTCCCAGTGGCAAAAACATCAACAACTTCTTCAGGCTCGCGTGTCATGACGGAGTCAAGCAAAAAGCGGGGAATTCATTAGGCCCGCCACGTAGAGTCTTGTTACCACATTTTTCAATTATAGCACGTTTCCGGCTCTTGCCTTTTCTCTCTCACGTTCACGTTTGCACCTAATTCCTCTTCGCTCTCTCTTTCTCTTGTTCTTTTTTTTTTTTGCGCATTCCCTCGTACGCAAATGAAGAATTATTGCATTTTAATTTGGCAGCCGCTGCATAAATGTGCCAAAACATGTGCAGGTGGTGCATTGGTTCGATGGCTAAGTGGCTCGCTGGCTCGTTGGCTCGTTGGCTCGTTGGCTCGCTGGCTTACTGGATCCGCCTTATCGAGGCGACTCGTCGAATTCCAGCTCTAATGAAGTGCAGTTCAAAGTTCAAACCGCCAACTAATTAGCTGTTGCTGCTGCCTCCAGCAAACGAGCCACTTCATTAAAATGAGTGCCCTAAAAAAAGAAAAAAAAAACTTAAAACAACTTTCAGTCTCTCAGTGGCTCACTCTGCTGGTCAGTCAGCCAATGGCTGTCTCACAAAAATTTATTGTTAAAAGCCGCTAATGAATTATTTACTGCCCATTTTGCTGTCCGGCATGTCCTTTGCGTCCTTCATGATACGTTGCCGTGTGGGGTTGCTGCCTGGGCT